ATCTATGCGTAGGAATGTCCTTGAATGATGCACTGGTATGTCACCGGACCCCGCGCTGTACCGGTATGATTGAATCATTCAATCCGTTCCAACGTGTGCATACCGGTACAATTGAACCTCGATTAGCTAAGATATTTTACAAGGGGAAGGTTTGGCCACAACTTACATTTTCCAGACGGAACCGTACCGGTACCGGGACAGTGAGGGTACCTCTAGAATGTTTCTGCTGCAGGAGAAGTATTTGAAGGCTATCGGGCGCCACCATTAGAAACGCAATGCAATTGTGGTTCTACGTTTCACCATTTCGATGTCTGCAAGGGCAGGTTTTAAGGGGAATGATTGAATCTAACGTTCGTGCACTAGAGATATTGACGCTACTACAGTTCGTGTAATAAAGATATCTCTGCGATTAGGTACCGGTAGGCACAAACGGAAGAACGGTACTGCTTGTTACAACAACTAGCAAGATAAGGAATCCACGAGCGAGCACCATAGGAACAATAACAAAGGGGGGCCACACTCTATACAGTGGATTCCAAAACGATCATCCATTCACGCTCCGTAGCGGATTTCCCTTTCCTCAATAGCCCGCGGCTCAGTGTCAGCCGACGGGCAAAATACATCTTGGTCAGCAGTGCTATAGCCATCATACACAGTCACGAGTCGAGTCCTCATAGATGGATAATATGCACTTGGGGCTCTCGACGCAGCAGCCAAGGTTTGCGTCGCTCCAACACCCTCCCTCTATCGATAGTTGACTCGCTGGTACTTGGCGGCACGGTAGAGGCGGGTGCGTTTTGTCGGTTGTGACTGCGTTGCGGTGCTTGCAGCCTTCTTTTTGCCTCGTGATCTCTGCGGAGAGGAAGAATCCACCGAATAGCAACAAAGCGACGGGTTCATGCTCAACAGGTAATGTAGATTGCTGATATCGGATCCCATCTTGGCCAGCATGCGGGTCCATCGCGCGTCTCGATGAACCGTCGTATCCGTCAAGAGTTCTCCTCTCCCTAGTTTATTCAGTTCCATCAGGAACTTCATTTCTTCATCCAACGCCTTGTTTGCGTGATCGTCACCGACACGAAGGCTCACCTTCTCAATGACGTAGTTGGATTTGACGGCGTCCCGAAAATGGGTCAAGCTCTGTGTGCTCATCTCTCCCATGCCCCCTTGGAAGAGGAATTCCTTGAGACTAGTCGAATCCGCGAGACCCTCTGCAATCTCTGCCTCTATTTGGTGTTGGATACTGTGGTTATTGTTGGGGTTGCCGTCCGCCTGATCAAACCCCGTGACAATCATAATGACTTCGTTCAACGTTTGATTGCGTCGGAACAAGCGCGTAAACGCTTGACTCCCGGTGATTCCAAGAGAGCAATTGATACACAATTCTCTGAGCACATTGTTGTGTTCGAGTGAAGACGCCATGGCTGCCAAGTTGTCGTTGGATAGAACAAATAGGAACAAGTAGAGAGAAGAGAGTTTCGGCAGTAGGCACAAATCTCGAAGTCCAGCACTCTCCAGTGCACCGAGCGAGTCTTCCATGGGATTACAGGATCCTTTGATGATGATATCAGTCACATTGGATAGTTTGGCTAGCCCCTTGATCAATGGATCCAATGGATTTGCTGTTCCTCCTGTATCGTGATTCACCTTGTCATCGACATTGATGGTCAGCCCGATGCACTGGAGCATGACAAGCCGCCCAAAAGCATTCCCCAGGCCGGCAAAATCGTCGCGATTTCCTGCCAGTTTCAAGTCGAAAATGAGATATTCTAGCTTGAGGGTGCTCCGGAGCAATAAAGAGAGAGCCTTGACGGGGAAGGAAAACTGTGGCATGACGGCACCTTCTTCGACGCGGCATTCCGGACGCCAGACTTTGATGCCCAGCAAATGGGGCAGATGGACTTCGGAAAATAACTGTTCTATGGTTTCCGGACCGTACTTTTGCATAAACGAGGCATAGAGGTTGACGTAAAGAACCACGCAATCGGGATCTTTCAACGAAGAAGAAATGGAAGCCAAATCGGAGCCTTCGTCAAAATGCAGCGTGATTTTCTTGGCGTTCACTGCCACGGGTGTCGACGCTGTCACAGCGTCCGATTGGTCCTCTGAAAGATACATTTCTCTGTCATTCTCTTCTTCGCTCATCTTGCTCTGACTTTACTACGGTATTAGATAGATAGATACTGGAAGATAGCAAATGTGCGGATCTGTAAGCTCAGGTTTCCCATTGTGTCAATGAGATCGTCACAGTTCTGAAGCTGAATGCTCCGGCCGTTGTTGTTGGTGGGTGTAAAGCCAACGCAATAAGCCAGCGAACCAATCTATTCCTCCCTCCAAGCCCTGTCGGAAACCGCTGTCCCATGGACATACGCAAACATGCCTACCGTAAGAGTTGGCCGTCCTTGGGCTGAGGATACATGTAACAATGCTGCACACAGTGGCCATTTTGAAATCCGCATGAGAATGGCTTCCTCCCAAGGGATGCATGGTGTGGTACACATGGAGTGGTGCGTGCTGCTAGAATGCATTGGACGTTGGAAGTCCGAAAGTATTCCTACGTATAAAAATGGCTGTCAACGGAACAAATAAATGCACATGCAGTGCCGCTGCTGGAAACAATGGCCATTTGTAACTACTCAAATATGCCTATGAGATCTGTTGTCCATGTGATCAACTCACATGTACCTGGTACGTATTACTGCTCCCGAACAGGGTCATTTGGAATGATCCTTAAAAACGCCCAAAAAGGATGTCCATGGGATTATTAATGTGTTTGCTACCGGGCTGCTCTATGTCATAATTGCAGGTACTTCAATTTGCCTTTGAGAATGGTTGCCCACGGCTGTGATTGATTGCCCATGGCGTGAATGCCATTTTCAAAACCTTCATTCATGTCACAGAGCAATACCGGATAAACCAAAACCTAACCCTTTTCCTCTCTTTGCACTGCAGGTAGTTGGCTACAGTTGTTACCTGCTGAAGGGCGCTTGGTGCTCACTTAGCTTTCAGTTCTGGGCATGCGAGTTGGTTCAATCAATCTTCATGACTTTCTATTCCGTTCTAGCAAGCATTAGCAGCATCTTTGGCTTTTGCCACGTCTGCCAAGAGCCTGGCTTGGGTAGCTTTGTACTTTTCTTTGGCTGCCTCTATTTGACGACCTAATGCTTGCAAAGTTCCTGTAAAATGTCAGGTCGCGAGGGCCAGACCTTGGGACACCAACAATATGGTTTCTTCTCAGCAACCTCATCCAGCGTCCACCCCGCAATGTCTGGATTCGATTCATCAGGATTCTCCATTCCATCCAACAATAGCCAGTCGGCAAAATGGCTGATCCGACCGTGTAGCGAATGGAGTAGCTAGCGATGCAAGTTGGATCGACCCAATTTCCCAATGTAATGTTCCTTCCCCGCCGACGTTACTTGCAAGGTTCGATGAAAGAGGTTTCGGCTTTCAAAAACAACATCTCCTGCCCGAAGGTCCAGCACACGCTTCTGACACAGCCATGGACCCTTCGTACTCGATGGGCATGTTGTCGAGCGCAATCCACGCATCGATCCCATCTTGATCCTTCCCAGAACTTTTGGAGGCTTCACAAGGGGCATACGACTCTGGCCAAAGGCCGTGTCCATCCACATGCCAGTCACACCTGGTGATGTCCAAAATGTTACGAGAAAAGAAAAAGTCACCTGCTCCAAGATGAATGGACAAACCGTCAAGAAAAAGTGAGCAAGAGTGCCCTCCTTCACTTTTTTGAATAAACCACAAGGTAATGATTGACATTTCGTACTGAATCACTCGCAATGTTTGAGTGGCTGGATCCAACTGCATAAGTTCAGGAACGCAGCCACATCTTGAAAGACACCTGGAGTCAAAGCCACCCGAGAGGCATGCACGTTGGGGTTCTCTGGGCTGGGCTCAAAGTCTTCACCCGCTGCCACCATTTTGCGGACTGTCGCCTCGTCCAAGAGGCCTCGAATCACAACAAAGCCATCCAGGACACCACGGCCACGAGGGTACCACTGGTACCGGAAACGACAGTGATGACGACACTCCACAGGTGCTGTTTCAACTTGATGTTGTCATTGCTACGTATAAAATCAGATTCTCTTTCCACAAGAAAAACAACAAAAGACAGGTCAGCGATGACGACGGCTCTCTGCGATGGTTGTCATTGGGGCAAGCCAACAACAGACAGCAACAGAGCTTAACAGACAAGTCAAAGAGCAACGAGGAGTGTGCTGACGACACTCTTCTATTGCCACTGCTCTTCAACCCTTCTTCAACCTTGAAGTTGTCATTGGAACAGCCAGGTGACAGCCCACGTTCACTGATGACCACCCGGGCGGTTTTTGTGTTTCACCACTGGGTCGCTTGGGCAAGCAGATCTATTCGTACGGTACGTGGCCTCACTCATCAGCTTTCCAACAATCACTCCTTTTGGTGGGGAGGCTCTGATCTATCCTCTCATCTACACAATCTACATGTACATGCAGTTTTGGTGGACACGGAACCGGGCCTAGTTGCTGGTGCAGCTGGTGGCAAGGATGCTTGCCAATGATTGGGCCCTACTGTCTACCGTACGTACGGTAGCAACCTACTCTACTAGTACTAGTAGCTAGGACTAACTACCAGTTTGCTTGGCTTGAAGCAAGGTTGGTACGGGTGCTACTAGTATGAGCTTTCTTGCTTGCTGCATGTATTCGCAGGGTTGTTGAGCAAAGTGGATCTGGCTCCGGCTGGATTGCATGGGAATGCGAAGCGGCAAGGAAGATCTATCTTGAAGTAGACTACAACCATCACCTTGCTTCAGACTGGCAAAACTAGCCATATAGCAGGGGTTGCTATCTCTCAGGAGCTCCTGAAACCTTGCTCGATGGCCCAAGCTTTGCCTTCGACACTACATGTGGTAGGAGTTGTCGCTACAGGTGTTGAGGACATCACGGAACAAAAACCGACGAACCAATAATAGAACTATAAACGCTAATTGCTTTGTTTGATAATCGATTCAAAAACTAAATCTATTGTACACTAGAAGCTTAAAACACTACTTCCTTTGCTGCGGCATCGCCACTGAGTATCATCACTGCCGTCTCTTTTTTTAATTTGCTTGGCAGTGCTACCTGTAGCTGTTGCTCTCTTTTGCTCTATACACTCAAAGGAACCATTCATTACCAAGCATTCTCTAAGCATCAAACACGTTGGGATTCCCTCGCAGGATGAAATACAAATGATTGAGTTCCTCATTGTGTTTTTCCAGTTTCTCCACCAACTTGGCCCGGTTCATGTTGATATCCAGTTGAAGTCCGCGCAGACTGGTAGCATTGAGTTTCAAAAAGTAATCCGTCTTGGCCATCATGGTAGGGTCTCCGAAAGATCTCATGTAGAGTGTCTCCATGACGTAGTTTTGCTTGAGTAGATCCGTCAAGGCGGAATTGCCCTTGTCACCAATATCATGACTGAGATGCAGGACCTTGAGAGTCTTGTTCTCCTTGAGCGAGCTAATGACTTCGACAAACCCATCTTCCACCACCTTTTGTCCCCAAACTTCGAGACGAGTAATGGTGGAATTGTTCTTGAGCAAGGAACCCAAAGCAGCACAGCAGTCTTCACGAAGGGTATCATCACATTGCACAGTAACTTCCTTGATTTTGCTCTTGGGTTCTTCTCCCTCTGGACACTTTTTGTTTTGTGTCTCTTCCAGGTCCTTGGCCATTTGAATAATGTGTTCATCTCGCAGGACAATACGTCGTAGCTCGAGAATCTTCAAGTTGGCGCAATCCCGAACCAAGCGACGGAGTGTTTCCGTGGTGACTAGATTCTTCTTCTTTCGAGGGATGCGAATGGTGAGATTGGAAAGATTGGGAGCGGTAACAATGGACTGAACAATGGGATCCAAGACGCGTCCTTCCGGAATGCGCAACTGACTGAAAAAGACCGTCTTTAGGTTCTCGTGTTGTTCCAGCGTAATGAGTCGATCGTCGTAGTTGCGCGTGTAAAGGACACTGTCGTAGACGGTTAACTTGCGGACTCCCTTGGCTCGGTCCAGCAAGCAGTTGAGTCCATCGAGCATCAACGGGAATTCCAAAAAGTACTTGAAATGGATCTCTTCCAACTTGGGTAGCTTCCCCAGCGCGTGCCACAACAAGTGTTGTTGTTCCAGCGGTAGATTGGCGATGAGGCCACCGTGGATCTGAATGTTCTTGACGGTCGTGTTGCATTCAATGGCATCCACCAGACGATCCAGATTCAGCACTGTGTGGCTCCCATCCAACTTGAGTACCGAAAACTCTTCATCATTCTGCTTGAGTTGATCAATCACATTGGTTCGCTTCACCCGACACTTCCGGATGGGCATTAGAACACGGCTTACGATGCGTCGGACCATCGCCATTTGCTGTTTGCTGCGGTTGTTGTTTTCGCTACCGTCAGAGGCTGTAGAAGCGTCGGTGTTATCAACAGCGGCTGCGTTCATGATTTATGATAGTATTTCAATCGAGAGGGAAACAGGCGTTGTTGTGTTGTTCTGTGGATTTTGAAACAGAGAGACAAGTAACGGAATTATCAAAACGGATTTCGATCAGATCGTTACAATGGCACTAATAATCAATGGGTAGCTTGCTGGGTCCGTCAATGAATGAGATTATGATGGATTGAAGCTGAAACTATCTTCCGCCAAGTGGTTTCCTTTGACAACGTTAGCAGGGATACAACAATGAGACCAGGTAAGCAAGTCAAAAAGTTTGTCCTTCGTTTCACCAGCCAAAATCTGACACGACGGCGATGTTCCAACCACCGGTAACCGTAGCCTTGCTTCCTTCGGTTTTGATAATGCTGTCGTTGGCCTGGAACCAGGAAGCTACAAATTGCAGAGATCCGAGCAATTCTTACGCTGGAGCTAGCTAGCTAGTGGCTGGCCAGCGACGAGAATACCAGAATACTGGTAAGCGTAACACTATTACGTAAGGCCAGGCTGTTCCCCAAAATAATATCATCAAAAGAGCACGATTTAACATGACTCTAGCGAATTAGGAAACCACTTGAAACGGTGATCGTCATGCTAGAACATTGAACATGGAGGAGGGCAGGGCTGCTGCTGACCACGTGCGAGATGCTGAGAGACGTCTGGATCAGGGAGCCACGTATTCAATGCGAAGTCCAAAAGGAAGTTTGACGAGATCGATATGAATTGGTTTGACGACCAAGCTGTTGAAGGGCTTGAAGGCTTGCCATCACGTCTACTAGCTAGAGCTGGTAGAGCTATTAGCTAGCTAGAGTTACATGTACAAGGAGAATGCAGCAAGTTCCTTGGCCCCAAGAGTCTGGAGAACAAATCAATCGAATTCTCATGCAGTTTGTTCTACGGCACAAAGCATCAGAGCGAGTGACTCGACTCGACTCCTCAGTTTCTCAAATAACCTATACCATACGGTACCGGTACTATAGTGACTGATGATCAAGCCCAAAGTGGTTCCGATAGCTGGTAGTATTCGCAAAAACAAGCGAATGCCAGGTTAGATTGGATTCGCAATAGGTTCGAGTTCCATGGCCACTCACTTCTGCTCCCCAATAGTCCCCAACTCGCTGTACTGAGTACTCCATTGCTCAGCCAACCTACTCTTACTGGTACTTTACTAGCTAGCTAGCTAAGCTAGAAGAGAGAAGAACCAATTTGCATGCCCAACCCATTTTCCAAACCAAACCAAACCAAAAACAAAACAAAAGTGTTACTACCAACACGCAAGGGGAGTTGTGCTGAAAGAGCCCACTAGATCTACAATGTACATGATTGAAACTGCAGGCCAACTGCCAGCACCGGTTCACATTACCTGGTGGAGGATACTAGAGGAGAAGTTGCTGGGGTTCAACATGGCATTCGATTCGCTTCCGAAAGAGACAAAGCGTCAATTGATACAGTTTTTGCTGCGGAAAGTCAATACGCACTACCAGCGGCTTGACAGCAAGGTCAGGAAACCCCAATGATGTTTTGAAATTTTTCAAACAGTTTTAGTTTCTCATTTTTAGTTTTAGTTTCTCATTTTTAGTTTCTCAATTTGAGAAACTAACAGTTTTAGTTTCTCATTTGATAAAATAGTTTCTCATTTCTGGAAGAAATCACTACACATGTACTAGCAGTTTCATAAATAGTTTCTCATTTCAAAAGATAGTTTCTCATTTCAACCAAATGAGAAACTAACTTTCTCATTTCAGAACTTAGTTTCTCAAATGAGAAACTACTTTCTCATTTGAGAAACTGTCAAAAAAGGATTGCAGTCTGGTTCCTGACCTTGCAGAGCTGTTTTTTTGCCAGCTCAAATTAACATGGGCTTTTTCATCCACCATGATCAGAGTGGAATCTCTGTGGGTTGAAGTTGAGCCATTCCTCAGACATGAAGTGGGGCATTCTAGCCTATTTAATCCTATTTGTAATTGCCGTGGACGCAAGCGTGAACCAAATACTGCTTGGAGAAGCATCCAATTATTAAATCTTCAAGCGATAGAGAGCTTCTGAGAACAAGCGATGTTCGAACATGCAATGGACACTGGCGCTACCGGTATCACACACGCTATCACGTGTGCTGCACCTGTACATAAAGTTGCTGCCCTGTCCAGGATCAACGCTTGGCCATTATCTCTTGCTGGCTCGGATGCTGGGAACTAAGCGGGATCGTGGTTCTGTACCGGTAGGCGAGTGAGGCGTCTTATTCGGGATTGGCTCGCTTGTATCGATGATGGTGAGAGCTGTTATTAGGAACTTCCTTCTAATAATAGAACATGAACAGAACGGTACTCAAATACTTAATGATAGCTTCAGACGATAATGAAAAGCTGCACAGATTAATTCTCAGAAACCTTTGGCTTCAAGAGTGTTTTTAAATCATTGGAAAGTGTACCAATGTGCGTTAAGTCTATTGCGGCTTTAATGGTGAAAGGAGCACGAGGCCCGTTTGCGATAAGATCGTGTCCAAGCGACTCGACTCCAGCGCCCTCTGCCAGAGCCAAGTGGATTTGCCCCCGACGAAAGCAATCGAAGTTGCTTTCCGAGTGGGACTTGAGCATTCGATTCATTCATTCCGAATTCCGGTTCCGAAGCTTTAGATGGAATGCAAATAAATCTTGGCCGCGAGCGAAAGATCCACCAGGTTTAAGAACAATGCAACGCATTGGACTCCCAGCTTTCTTGCTTGTGTCTTGTACAACACACGTTCATTCCTCGGGGCTGCGTTGCCAGTGGTGACTGTCAAGGGTTGCTTAAAGGAAGAGACCAAAGCAGCAATCGTACGTCACCACAAGAAAGACTAGCAAGCAAGCAACCTTCAGCCACGAACTCAACGGAGCTCGAGAGGAACGAATCCTGTCTATCCTCTTGCCTTGCCTCTATCTGAATGAAGAAACCTTCTTGTTTGCTTCTGTTAAAGACGAACGATTGGCGGGGGGTTCTTTCTGCTGTGCACTGGAAGCAATGGAGGACGCGCTGTGGCCGGCTGTTCATACAGCATCACAGAAAGCAAACAAACGGGCTTGGCAGAGTTCACAGCCCACTGTGCAGCCTAATCCATCCCGCATCAATGGTGCTCTTGTGCTCTTCTTTGGGGCAGGACAATCGGTGCAGTACGGCTGTACCGGTAGTCTACCTCGTGTGCCCATCACTGTATCCGTGAATCGTGCATGAAATATCTTTGCAAGATCCAAAGAACGTCTCAAAACTCGTGAAGCTTCGCTCGCATTGGTGCATTCTTCCCGAAGCAGTGTCGACATTTGCGTGAGTTGAGAAGTCAAGGTGTCAAGCAACTCGAGGAGCTCGCCGAGTACAATACAGTTGCCTTGTTTCCAAAGCCACCTTGTTGGCCTAAAAGCTCAACTGTTTGAGTAGGTTGCCACAGGTAGCACCATGACCGAAGAAGGTAGGATCGTTTCGATGAGGGATGCTAAAGGTTGTGTTCTCCTTCTGACCACTTTTGTGTTTCTTCTTCCTGTCATGTTGGGTAAAAGTGGAAGTGGATATCGAGACTGGGGCCGATACCCCTGCTGAAGAGGCCCCGGCTGCAGATGCCCCAGCTCCCGAGGCAGGTGTTCAAGCTACCGTCCAAGAAGTTCCTGAACCTGAACCGGTCAAGTTGGTGATTGCGACGGTAACCAAGCCAAGCCGAGAATCGCTGGTTGGATTGGGCGTTGTCGACAGGCCTGGGCTACTAGGCAAAACTGTACCAGTGATCAATACCATCAAGGAAGGCAGTCTCTGTGCAGGATCCGATTTGGAAGTGGGTATGCACCTTTACAGCATCAACGGCGTGGCTTGCAAGGGGCGCGATGATGCCACAGCAATGCTGAAAGTCTGCGAGGGTTCCATTACAATCAAGGCTGGTCCTCCGGGCCTGATTTGGGCCACTGTTGTCAAGGAGAGCGCGGACCAAAAGGTGGGACTGCACATGGAACGGCACAAGAACAGTCGAAGAGTAATTGTTGGATCTGTCAAGGGGCTGTTTGCCGAAACGGAGCTGAAAGATGGCATGACAATTGTGCAGATTAATGAACAAGATATCGAAGGCAGGCCCATGAGTGAAGTACTTGCGATGGTAACCGAAGCCGAGGGAAAGATTACCGTCATGGCCCAGGCACCACAGGACCTCAGTGAAAAGATCTTGGGACATCCCCCACCGGAAGGGCTAGGAGGAGGACAGTGGGGTTCCACTAGGTGAGTGCGGATGTTGGACGAAAGCCGTGCAATCGATGAGGGAGATCACCTTGCCTTTTTCTGACGTCAATTGGTTCTTTGTTTGACAGCTACGTCGGGGCTCAGACGGGGGCCTTTGCTATCATTTCGCTCATCACAGTCGTAGGATGGGCCATCATTCTGCTCTTGTTACCATCGGATTGGATGGATGTCTATATGGTGGACGGGAAACTCTACACGCCCAGTGGTGAATTTTTCAAGAGTGCCACCAAACACAACTTTGAAGTTCGCAAGTCCGAACATTGCACCGAAAAGGTCAAGGGTGTGTGGGGCACCACAACCTACCTTGGACCAAAGACTTGGAGTTGCGCCATCATGGCGACGCCGACATTCTTTATTGGGACAGTTTTCATCCTTTTGCTCCTCCCCATGGATGAACGTGATGTGTACTTGGCCAACGGCAACCTTTACAGCCCTAGTGGAAAATTCCTCAAAACTGCCACCAACAGGAACTTTACCCTCCGCAAGTCTCAACATTTGCAGCATTAAAAAAAGCACTCAACACAATAATCTACTGCAAAGTGCAAAACCAATGAGGGGTGATGGTGATTGGATTCGTGGTTTGTCTGTGGAGCTATTTACTTTGTTTCGTGTTTATTCTACCTCAATGCATGACAAGTGTTGCTATCTGCGGTACCAGTACCTCCTGGTTTGTGGCTTGTCACAGTGACGAAAAAGTACCAGCATACCGTACGACAATTGTTTGAGAGAAGTTGTAGTTTTAAGATTACCGTAGCTGAACCAGCTAGCTAGTACTGTAGAGACAAACAAAAAAGAGTACCGTGGAATGGAATCTGGTGCCATTTTTGCCTGCTGAGTTCTTCTGTCATCCTCATGGACCAGCTTGCTTGCATTCTTGGGAAAGAATGAATCCAGGATTGCCTCGTAGTATGTGAAAGAGATAGTCCAAGTTGCTACTGTGGGTATTCAGTTTGTCCAGGATCTGTTCCTTGTTGACATTGACATGGAGAAGCAACCGTCGAATGTACGTGGTGTTCATCTGGAGATAAAAGTCCATGGTTTGAAGAAACTCCCAGTGTTGGTGGCAATTGCCCCGCAGGAACATGGATTCTAGAAACACATTGTGTTGCAACATTTCCAGAATCGCTTGTCGGTGATTCTTGTTGCTTAGAATGTTGTCATGACTGAGGTACAACGTCTTGAGCCTACGATTGGATTTCAAGGCTTTGGCAATGGCCAAGAAACCAGCTTCGTCGACGTTGGATCCCCACAGCTCGAGTCGTTCCAACACGGAATTCTCTTGGAGCACATGTGCCATTGCCATACAGGCTGACTCGTTGAGTTGGTTTTCGCCGTGCAGCACGAGTTCCTTTAGAGAGTGGCTCATTCCAGTGGGGTTGGTCTTGTGAGCTAGATGATGATTCATTAGACTACTCAAATGGTAGTTGCTGTGGACCATTCGTCGTAGTTCCAATGTGACCAGGTTAGTTTGCGCCAGTGATTCCAGTGTTTTGCAGGACAAGAGGCTGTCGGTTCCTTCTTGGAGTGCCATTCGAACGATGAGTTTTTGCAGATTGGGTGCTGTGGTACACATGGCCACAAACGAATTCAAGATATTCGCGCTGTTGTTGCTGCTGCTATTGTTGTTGTTACGATCCAGATAGAGTTGTGAAACAACAATGCTTGTCAGATTGACATGCTGTTTCAAGGACACAGCGTCCAGAATACTGCCGGTTGTGGTGTTGGACAAGATTGTATCATGGATAGAGAGCTTAGTCAAATGAACAGCACGGCTTAGAACCGTATTCAAGTGGATTGTCTGGAGTGGGAAATCGAGAAAGTAGTTGCAATGCAAGGTTTCCAACAATTGAGGCATGTCACCACCGATGGTGTCCCACAGACGCTGCTGTTCTTGCTCTGTCAACTTTTGCACAAAGAATCCATGAATGCGAGCTGTTTTCACAGTCTTGTTTTGTTGCATGGCACGAAACAGACTGGTACGGTCCAACGTGTTGGCATGAATGCTGCTCAACTTGAGCTCTTGAAAGTTGGGGTTGTTCTCGTGGAGTTTCTCAATGAGAGTGGGTTTCTTCTTGTTGCTTGTCTTTGTGGTTTGTTCTTGTTCGCCATTCAAGATTCGTCGCAGGAGTCTGCGATGTTCGCTAGAATGGTGATGAAATGAGTTTGTCATGGTCTATTGTATTGTTATTACCAGTACCAGGTACGATGTAGTGCCTTTTGTTCTTTCTGTGAGGAGGGGAGGCACAGGACAAGAGAGAAAGAGATGATTGTGAGAAATTGGCTTTCGGTGCTTTCGGTTGCATTTGAATGACGGCTGCTCAAACGGCTATTTCACCTCGCGTAGTCACGAGACGGAAACATATTCACGAGTATGACGTGAGGCAATGGCGCTAAGCCGAGGAAGCTGAGGTTATGACACCACCGAAAGATTTTGAGAGCAGCCACCACAAACACAACACACAACATCGAGCTGACCACAAAACCATGACAAGATGTTGTATTTTTTGAGGTGCCATGAAGATGTGGCCTACTACTTGCTAATTGCTGCTCTGACAAGGAGTGGGTAACAGCACGGGATGCCTCCTGTTGGCAACGGTGTAAGGGTACGTTATCAGTCACTCGACACACGTTGGATTGTTTGTCGCTGTTGTCCTGTTCTCTACCATACCTGTTGGTCTGCCGGCTGGGTTGAAGACTCGTTGGATGAACTAGCTAGTCGCAGGATGAGAGGAGGGCACTGGAGCTTCCCGTGTTCTTCTGGTTTCGTCATGCGACTAGTTAATCCGACGAGTTTTGTCAACCAACCAACAACAACAACGCTTCCCATAATGATCGATAATTCACTGATATAATGAGACGGAATGATGCCATGTCGAAACCTTTGGTCTTGCAATTGTGAATGGTCAAGCGTTGTTGTTTGTTGGCTCTGCTGTGTTGAATTTGAATTTATTGGAAAGGATATATCTTTTTGCCGAGGAAGACTCCGATCTTAGGACACCTTCAGAACACAACCATTGTGTCATGAGAACATATCTGTTGTTATTCGTACTGTCTGAGGTTTGAAGAAAGATTTCCTTGCCCTTTTTGGTGTTGTTTGTTTGTTTGTTTGGGATGGGGGACGGTGACGAAAACCATTTTTGCCTTTATGACTACTGGCATCTGATGCTTCATGAAGACTATTTTCCTATTCAACTTTAATATACCCCGAGTCCCTTCTATGATGTATTGCGATTGATTGATTGATTGTGTTTTCCCTTTCCGCGTTGGCTTCTTTCTAACCCATTCTCTATGGCTGTTTGTTTCTTTACACGTAGGTATGGTCGGGCAGAGGCAATCTGATGCCACTCAGCAATTTCTATGTCAGGCTGCGTTGGGGGCAATCAACAAATCACAGCCTATTTCGACTGAAGGGGACGCTTGTGATCGGGGGCAAGTCAAGCAAATTCGACATCTGGGCAAGAAATGTCACATGGACGCAGGGAAACACACCCACATGCCATAAACAAGCAGCAAAGATGCTGGTGTGGGAAGGTTCAGGCCAGGCTAGCAGGTTTCAATGGGATGTATTATTGATTGGGATGTGTGGAGCTCATGCTCTTCTTTTAGCAAACGAGGATTTATCCAATCGCCTTGGCGCCCCGCTAGCTAGCTAGTCTAGCTACATAGATGTAGACTAGTCTGTTTGGATGAATCGAATCTGTCAAGTCAAATCCAGGATGGAAGAGTTAGTCTAGATTTTTCTGTTTGACGGACCAGATCCAATCCACCCTGCCAGATCTTTCGGGCCGAGTCACCCGAACCGTTCGATTGTAATTACAACCTTTGCAGCTTCAGGTGTCGGGGGTTCACTTCCTTTGTAGTCGAGCCAAGATATTATTTGGGTGCAAAGCGTGACTCGACTCTACCAAACCGAATGGATAAATTCCATCCTGAGGCAATCAAAACTACACGAGTTCTTTAGAAAGATACCCTAATGAGCTACCTCCACCTCTTTATCTAGCTAGCTAGCTAGCTAGCTAGATACTGAGTAGATAGACAAGCTGGTACCGTACATCGCAAAAGGTGTCCGCCAAACTTGATTTGACTCTTCAGATCTATGCTTAGTTGCGGCTTCTCAAGCTGCTTCTCATCACGTGCTGCATGCGATCACCTCTGTCAATGCGATCCGTCGGTTTGTCACCCCGACGCAAATGCGATCAGTGAGCGAGGAACAGGAAACTCCCAATTTGAATGGAGCAGAAGGGCATCACTCCGGAGGCCAGGGTTCGAGCCGTGCAGAAGACACGAAAAGCCTAGCAATCAATCACTGCGAGCCTATCCGATAGGATGAGGGCGACACCATTCCTCGAGTGCTTCCAGCTGAAGGGGCGGCAGCTTCTCACTAGCACTTCCCGTTTGCCCGCTTCAGGCTTCGAGTTGATCTTGACAGAGGTCAACGCGCGGAGAGATCCACCATGGATCCAGCAAGTTCTAGCTAGTAGCTACCTAGCTAGCTACCTATGGCATTAGTAGCTTGCAACATATTGTTCTCACAAAAAAGAAACGAGGAAACTTGCAAGGAAAGCAAAGAACCCAAGAAACGTGCAGATCCAAATCAAAGCAACGATGACAATCGACGAACACAAAATGTACCCCGCTCCTTTCAAGGACGACAAGGTCCACTACGGCCCACTTCAGCAGCCACCTTCAGTCGACTGGCACCCCGAAGGTGAGTGTGCTTCTTTGTTGACATGCAAGTAGGGTCATTGCGAGGAACGCCCTGTCCCAATCTCACAAGTTGCTTTTCATTGAACTTTTTGCTTGCCGTTTCAGCTCCCCATCACAAACCTGCGAAGGGTACCAAGCATCCCGAGTTTGCATCCTCACGCAAGAGGACGACGGAGACTTACAGCCCATTTGACCTCCCACCAAAAGTGTAATCGGGCCATTGGCCAGAGCTCAGGCAAAGAGCCATCGTGAGCTTGTATGAGAATGTAGCCAGGAGGAGGTTGGCAACTTCTTGGACGTTTTGCGTTTTTGCATTTTTGAAAGCCTCTCCCGCCACACTGCGGAGCAAGCGTTGGACATTGGATGCAGAGAAGTCAAGTCAGAGTGACGAGTTGAAGCACCTGGCTGGACCATGAGGTTGGTGGCGAGGCAAAAAGATAAACGATTTTGCATTTTCTAAAAGACTAGACTAGCTAGTACCAGTACTGTAATCACAAGGACCCAAACGAATGTCTGGAATCTATCTACAAGTATTGCAATATCTTCCAGCACAGGAGTCATTTTGGTCAACGTGGAATGGTCGGGAAGCTCTCTTCGGAGACTCCCCTCTACTGGTATCGTACTCTGTAAAGGCGACGGAGGCAACTCGCAGAGCTTGCTTTCGATGACGATTCCGAGTCTCCAGCTGCAGCCCTCTAGTAGGCCAGTCTGATCATTGGCAACTGAACACATCGCAGTCTTGTGTATGCTCCTGTGACATCAGCGATTTGGATCAAAACCAGCTCTCACAAGAGCCTCAAGAAGTGCTTCTCGATTTCTGTTCCTCCAAATTTTCTTTCCCAGAATCCATTTACGATAGCTTGTCGGCACCTGCTCCCATTTCATGCCTTTGTACATTCCAAAGTCAAACATGTAATCGGCAGCTTCAAATTGATCGTTGTTGATTGATGCATGAAGGGGTGCAATGGCAGATTGTTGTGTCTTCATGACGGGAGGAGGCTCTTCTTCAAGCAACCCCATGGATGCCAGTGCACGCCGGAGGTTTGGACGTTTTCGCCAGACCTCTTTCTGCAAAAGGAATCGAACGTAGGACCTTGGAGCATCGGATACAGGAATTCCTTCTGTGGCAAACCACCAAAGAGTCGAGCCGAGAGATTCAGGGTTGATATTCGAGCAGTTACAAACACAGCCAAACTAGATCCATACCGTGTTTCCCAAAGTCCAATAGGTATCCAGTTTCGTCAGTCTCAGGCATCTCTTCAGGTTCAGGCAGTATCTTTTCTGGTAGTATTTCGTCGATACTGTGCTGTTTGAATATCAGAGATCTGGAAAGCCATTCATCAATAGTGCCTTTGAATACAAAGTATTCGACTCGGACGTTGCTGACTTGTCCAACCCTGTGACAACGATCCTCTGCTTGAGCCATGATTCCCGGTGACCAATCGAGTTCGAGAAACACCACATGTGATGCTGCTGTGAGGGTCAAGCCAAGACCGCATGCCCGTATACTCCCTACAAATAGACGAACATTGGGGTCATGCTGGAACTGGCGTACTGCTTCGTCGCGTTCGATTCGATCTATTCCGCCCTTGATGCCCACGGCTGTTTTCCCAAAGTGATCCATCAGGGAATCGAAGATTGCTCGGTGGTGTACAAAGACAACCACCTTCTCCTGAGTTAAATACTCTTCTAGGAGCTCAATGGCAGGATCCAATTTCCTCTGTGCTGTTTCCTGTCTGACGGCTGATATCGTTGCTAGCATCTCTTTGGTGGATTTACCCTTTTCTATGTAGCTGAGCAGCTGTTGGGCATTGGATCCAAAATCATTGAGATCCATGCCTGCGGTGTTTTCATTAAAGCCACTTCCTTGAAGTGCTTCTCTCAGGAGTTCCCTCTCCTCTCGCGCAATATCTTGATCTGCGATCAAACAGCGACAAGATCGAAGCTTCGGAGGAAGTTGAGTCAGAACTTCCGATTTGCACCGTCGAACCATGATTGGATCCAGGCGCTTGGACAGTTCTCCCAGATTGGCGGCCCCCGAAAACTCCTTGACGGTGACACGCCGGCCTCTGACATAGATATCTCTAGTCTTTGGATCGCAATATCGATTGGCATAGTCATCAAAGTCGGTGAAACCATCAGGATCAACGGAATGAACAATTGGGAACAGCTCCACTGGTCGATTCAGGACTGGCGTCCCCGTGAGTAGCCACAAGTACTCTGATTGAATTCCTGGTTTTCGTCGTTTCCCTGTCATTTTGCCCAGAATGGACCTGGTGCGTTTGGAATCCACAGATTTCAGAGCGTGGCACTCATCACAAATCATGACTTGGTAGTCTGGCTTGTGTAACTCTTTTTCTAGCTTGAAGCATATATCATAGTTGATGATTGTCACACTTCCAGGTTGAGGGCTTGGCTTTTCTTTCATGGATGCAATGTGAACTGTCCAGCAGGACGCAAGATCAGGGTTCAACCATTGCTCGAGCTCTTGCTGCCAGACACCCAGTACAGACTTGGGGCAGATAATCAGAATGGTGGAATCCTCTTTCCCAATGCGGTTCAACGCCTCTATGCATTGCACCGTTTTCCCCATTCCTGCAGAGAAGAAGAAGAAGTCATTAGCGCCCCGAAGCTTACCCTCCCCCCAGTTTCAAAACGAACCAAGCGGAACTTTGGGACCATTGGTCATGATATAGACTTACCCATCTCATCCGCCAGCAGCAAGCGCTTTTGAGACACCAGCCTTTCCACTCCATCTTGCTGATACGGAAAAAGCTCTGGTTTCGGTTGCAATTGCGGCTGCTCAGAAGGAGCGGCAGTCTGAGTGGTATCTACGTGGTTCTGAAACGAAGCTGTTGTCCTCACTGCAGCCAGCAGGAGTAACAGATAAAGAGCAGCCATTGGATAGGGGGGGTAGATCCACTTGTAGCTATAAGAATCCCAGTGCTTTACAAGTGAGCGTCGTTGTTTGTCTACAGCGTCGTTCTTGAGTTCTCGACGAATGTGAAAAGTGATGCCAAAGATACAGACTGTACTCTTTTTTCCCTTAACCCTAAATTATTGTTTTTTTTGCTACCGGTGGCGCTCCGTGGGCGCGAAGCGAACGCATCCACGTTTGAAAAAAACGAACCACGGCGACACTCTATTTTACTTACTCAATTAATTGTTGATTGCAACACAGCCAACTCCGCCACCATGAGGAATAAGAGGGTCAAGCATGCATCTTCCACCGAGAAGCCCCACCAGCGAAAGAAGGAGAAGCAGAAATCAAAACATAGAAAGTCGGCCTCTCAGGAAGACTATGGATCATCGCTGTACGCGCGAAGGCACTCGCTTGCGCAGCAGAAAGTGAGCCCATTGGAAACTCGCCGACCATGGCAGGATGACGACGAAAATGACGAAAACATGGGGATTTGGAACTTGATCTGCTTGTTCTGCTGTTGTCTTTTCTATTAGGAAGCGACCCAGCAACAAACAGTTCATGGAACATTGACCGCGGGAGGAGGCGGGAGTCTGCGCTGTGTATGATCACTCCTTTTGCCAGTTTCACGTTTCACGGGAGTGCGGTCGATGCCGACGCTGCAATCCAGAGTATCGTGGCGCAGGCAGGCATGGCATTCGAGCAACTCTGCATGAGGGTGATGGTGTCCCTGTCGGTACCGGTAGCTGTACCGGTAGTGGTATCGGTAGTCGTGGTTCCTGTACATATATAGACAGGGGGTAGGGAGCACTACATACAGCCTGTGCATATGAACAGGGAGGATGCCCGCAGATTGAGAGCAAGGCCAGCCATTTTTTTGGCCTGAATTCAAAAACGTCCAATTTCCTGTGCAATCGAACAGGATAGCGACGCCTGTTCAATTGCACAGGAAATTGGACGGCCTGTGCAATCGAACAGGATAGCGACGCCTGTTCAATTGCACAGGAAATTGGACGGCCTGTGCAATCGAACAGGATGGCGACGTCCTGTTCAAATGCACAGGAGCTCGATGTCCTGTTCAAATGCACAGGAATTGTGACGTTTTTTTCTGGGTAGGCTTTCTCATTACTCAACAGTATAGATCTGACATTACATTCAGCATTACAGTCAAGCATTTCCTCTGCGTTCAGTCAAGCTGATGATCAACTCTCCTCTGCTATCTCGCAGGCTGAGGTATGGACGTCTCCACCCGTAATCATTCAAGTAGCTGGATCTCTCAAAGACGATGGAGACAGAAAGGAAATCAATCTTATTCCAACACTCGGTCACAATACTCGCAACCGATCGGAGCCCAACACTGCTATCGTGCACTGGC